CTCTCTCTCTCTCTCTCTCTCTCTCTCTCTCTCTCTCTCTCTCTCTCTCTCTCTCTCTCTCTCTCTCTCTCTCTCTCTCTCTCCTCTTCCTCCTTACTTATCTCCTGTCATCACTGTGTCATATTCCACTACCCTTATATATGTTTGTGACCATATATATCGTCATGTATGAGTCGGTGAAACTCCGACGAAACAGTTTGTCACAGCCCCTCGTTTGTTGTCCTCTTCTCTCTCTCTGCCTACGGTTTACCGGGCAGTTCTGTTTGTGACGATATATATATATACATATGTATATATATATATATGGCATGTATAGTGTTCAGGCTTCTGACGAGTCGGTGAAACTCCAACGAAACAGTTTGTCACAGCGGCTCGTTTGTTGTCCTCTTCTCGCTCTCTGCCTACTACGGTTTACCGCAGGGCAGCTCTGTTTGACGATATATATATAGATATATATATGAGAAGCAAAAAGGCAGTGGTGTTTATTATTAAAAGTTGTTATTAAAAAAAGGAAAAGACCTGGTGGAAAGTAGGGACAGGGATCGCAGGAGATGGACCCGTCGTCGTTCGGCACGTGGAAGAGGACGTGGCCGACTCACGGCGACAGCTCCTCCTCCTCCTCGGAGTCCAACGGGGCTGGGGGTTTGCACCAGGATGGGCTGATCCCATTGCCGGCCGAGTGGGTGATTAGTGCGGAGAGGGAGGTGTTGAGTGATCGGGATCCCTCGTCTCAGCCCAGACTTGTGAGAGACAGCCTCCTCCTCAGCAACGACGTGATTGCTGCGACTTTGAACGCATCGAGGTCCCGACTGGGAGAGCAATGGAGTGGTCATCTTGCCGCTGGCGAAAAGATCGACGAAGGAGAAGAAGAAGAACAACAACAACAAGAACAAGAAGCTGGCTATGGCGTCGCGGTGAAGAAGAAGAAACAAGAAGCTTGGGGAGCCAGACATGGGAGAAGTCGAAGAGATGATGAGGACGGTGACCATCGTACAATTGGATCGGCCTTGGGCAGCGAGGAAGGAGAGAAAGCAACTCTAGCGAAGACAGCATTCTCATCATCCAATGGGAGGAGGGAGGGGGTAAGGAAGGACGAGGAGAAGGAGGAGGAGGTGGGAAAGGGAGGAGGAGGAGGTCTTGATCGTTCCCCCGATCCCGACGAAAGAGAGTGGAGGTTGTTCGAGGAGGAATTCGCTGATTGGGCTGCGACGCGGATCCAGAGTCGGTATCGGGCCGTGTTGCGATCCCGACGCTTCAGACGCATGAAGCAGGCGGCTGTGGTCATTCAAAGGGCGTGGAGAGAGAGTGAGGAGAAGAAAAGGAGGCGCTTGACGCTGCTAACCCAACGCCACGTGGCGGCCAGCAAGATCCAAAGGGCGTGGAGGAGTTATTGGGACCGTCGGATCTTCAAGTACTACAGAGATCTCCTCCTCTTCAGAGAGAGGGGGGACCCAGCCTCTCTGCTTCGCGTCATTAATCCTGTAGAAGCTGGGCTAGTGGACGCTGCAGCTGGCACCCATATCCGGTTCCGATTGGGCGGGCCGTTTTTCCCGCCAAATATCTTCTACAAGATCTACACACATAATCCCATTGCCGACATGTGTTCGTTCAGCCCGAGGGCTTATGCTTTGATGTCCAGGATCAGGGCAATTGGGAGAGTGGGGAGGAGAGGGAGAGGGACGTGCATGCTTCGGCCTCTGCTGGCTATGATCGTGGAGGAAGAGGTGATGATGGACAAGACACAAGAGGAGGAGGAGGAGGAGGATCAAGAACTCGTCCGGTGGTATAGCAGATGGGAGAACAATGGCTGGCGGCCTGTTGCTCCCCGATTTCTGAGCTATGTGGACTCTGTGTCCTGTGAAACCAGCTGTCGAAGACAGTCATTCCATCATCTGAGAGTCGTGAGAAGGGAGGAGAGGGCACGAATGGCCAAGTCCAAGAAGCTCAGATGGCTGCAGTACATATACAGTGAAGGACGAAAAGCTTGCCACGCAGGTTGTGCAGGGCCAGAGGCAACTGCAGTAAGCTCTGACAGGTCCACAGGTCAGGAGCTGCAGGGTGGAGCAGGAGGAGGAGGAGGAGGGGGAGAAAGGCGCTGGGATCGGGATGAGGCGAAAGGAGTGGGAGTGTCGTCAAACGACTTGCTTGTGGAGCAAGTGTTGGAGGGGGAGGGGGGGGAGGAGGAGGAGGAGGGGAGGAGGAAGAATGAGAGGTTGCGCTTGAAGGGGGGCTCGTGGAAGGAGGGGAGGGAGAAAGAGGAGGAGGAGGAGGAGGAGGAAGAAGAAGAGATTATGGCATGGTGTCGGGATCTGGACTTTGAGGCTTATCAGCGTGATTGGCTGGAACTTGCGACGTCCCGGGTTCCCAGAGTGCCAGTGGATATCTGTCGGGGTGGAGTAATGGACCAAGAGACGTTAAGATTAGTCATTGAGAGAGCCCAACGGCTTAATGCGGAGAGAATAATATAGCTTAAGCTTTTTTTTTTCTTTTTTCTTTTTTTTTACGAAAAAAAACAACGCAGTGAAAGGGGACCATCGCGGTAGGGGTACAATGACAATAAAAGAAGCATATGGTGATTGCAGTGGGGCAATCCCGACGGTTCATTCATCGATTCAGAGGTTTGGGGCATTCTCGCACTGGCGCAGAGAGCTGAGGGGGATGGTTGGTGTTGGGAGTGTTCGGGGGTGTTCGGGGGGGTTGGGGGGTTTGGGGGGGGGGTTGAAAGGAGGCAAAATATAAGCCCTCCCTATCCGGCTATAATGAAGAGAAGTAGCTATGCTTGCAGGGGTCCCCTGTATAGGCTTAGGAGTAGATAGGTATTGTGAAGTGAAATTCAGAGAAGAATATAGCTTCGCTTTTAAGAACTAAAGAAAAAAACTTTTCCTTTTTTTTTTTGGGGGGGGGGGGGGGGGGTTGGGGGGGAGAGAAGGGGAAGGCGATAAAAGAGAGAGAGAGAGAGAGAGAGGAGCTCGGCATCAAGATTGTTTCGTCGTCTTCTTGTTTCTCTGGTCGAAGGAGGAGGGAGAGGAAGAGGAAGAAGACGAGGAGGAGGGGGAGGAGGAGGAGAAAGAGGAGGAGGAGGAGGAGGAGGAGGAGAAAGAGGAGGAGAAGGAGGAGAGAGGGAGGGAGGTAGGGAGGGTGGGTGGTTTTTTTTGTCACATCTCCGAAGGGTTGGAGAACGAGAGACCCGAAGCTGGATTGGTGGGGAAAGGCTTAAAGGGAGGTTTTTTTTTTTTTTTTTTTTTTTTTTGAAGGTGAACTTTGTACTGATAAGGTTTTTAAATTACTTTAAGTACTAAGTAAGAGGAAAAAAGAAGTACTAACGATAAAAAAATAATAATAATAAATAAAAATGTACTGACGTAACGGTAATTTTGCAAAACGATAACCACCCGTTTTCCTCCGAACACAACGTAGACTCATCCTGTATGTACCTGACCGGAAAGATAGCTTGTATACATGCATGATCGGGGTGCGTGTTCGGGGGAAGACGGTAGGAAGGGAAGACATGGGGAACCGACACTTGCACAAGGAACGGGGCGGAGGCCGATTTTTTGTTTTTTTTTTTCTTGAGGCCGCGATTTGACCGTAGTTTTTTTTTTTTTTTTTTTTTTTTTTTTTTGCAGATGACCATAGCTGTAAAATTTTCCGGATTAGGAAAATAAATTCTCCTTTGATTATGCCAAAAACAAAACGTGGAGTCGAAGAGTTTCAAATACTCTTCGAGAAGAAGGGTAATCGTGCTGATTATTAAAAAATAATACTGTAGTATTAATATTTATTTATTTATTTATTTATTTATTTATTTATTTATTTATTTATTTATTGATTAAATAAAAATCGTCCTGCTTATCTTAGATGATATCATGATAGTGACAAATCTCATCTGCTGCCAAAACGTGGACTCAAAGCGTTAAAGACACTTTTAGAGAAGGAAGATTAGTTCGGATTATTACAGTAAAATGAACAAATATTAAATAATAATAAAAGTTTCCAAATATAAAGCAAATCGCCCTGCTGATCTTAGATGATACTGAAAACTCTCCCCTTCTCCTTCAGTATCATCAAGATGATACTGAAAAATCCCCCTGCTCATCTAAGATGACAATGAAAAATTTCCCCTGCTTATCTTAGATGATACTGAGACATCAAACCGAAGGTCCTATAACAGGGGACCTCTTACTTGCCTCCTTCGAGAATCCACCGGACATCTGCCACCGCTACTTTCAACCGCCATAGCCAAGAGGTGTTTCTTCTTCGACTTCAACGCCCACAGCCAATAGTCCTCTTACTCGCTGGGCCCGTTTTCCAGCAGGTGCTGTCAAAGTCATATATATATATATATAGTGGCCAAAAAGAAAAAAGAAAAAAAGAAAAAAACTTGAAAAGAAGGTGATTCACTTCCCACCAATAGACAGAGCAAGGCCCTCCAACGCGGGGCCGCTGTTAGCAGTGGGCACCGTTCTTTTTTTGTGTTTGTTTTTGAAAAAAAGAGACCTCTTAGTCAATCGCCATAGCCAAGACACCTCTAACTCAACCGCCATAGCCAAGACACCTCTTACTCAGCCGCCATAGCCAAGACACCTCTTCCTTAACTGCCATAGCCAGGAATCTCAAGAGCTTTTCGACGTTTCGTACACCCAAGAGCCAACAAACCTCTTACTTAACCGCCATAGCCAAGACCTCACTCCAAACCTCCATAGCCACACCTCCGGTGCTAAAGATGACAAATACAATCACCATTGGTAGGTTCGCTCTAGCAACCGAACGAATACAATCGCCATAGCCACAGACCTCTGCCGTTGAGGCCGTGCCATTGCTACTTCCATAGCCACATTTTCCCAGAGAGAGAGAGAGAAGATCGCAATCCACAGCCAAAGCCAGACTTCCTCTCGCAGATCGAGTGGGATCGCCATAGCCAGACCTTCACACTCCGTGGCACACTTGCGACCGCCATAGCCAGACCTCTAAAACCGCGTGGAAAAGACTCTAACTGCCATAGCTACCGTCCTTCCCCCATACACAACGCACCGCCACCATGAATGAATCAGGACGGAAAATTAGGGCGTATACCGTTCGTGATCACATTGGCTTGAAATCGGGGAAAGGGGGTAGCTGCCGGCCTTTGGACCCTTGCACTTCCCTCCTACAGTAGTAGTAATAAGTGATTTCTCACCCCCCCGCCGCCACCCCCCCTCCTCCGTGCTGCCACTTCATCCTTACTTTTTTTCTTTCCCCCCCCCTTCCCCCCCCTTCATCCTGCAGCAGTAATAATCGAGCTTTGTTTACAGTATCGCACCGGAAAGAACGCTAGTGTACATCATTAGGTAGTATGTAAGAAACATTCGAAGGGCAGATTGGGTTTTTGAGTCCAGAGTTATAACCCCTGCATTGGATTGGTCGCTTGTCAACAAGACCCAGATGGCTGGAGGGAGGGCCGAAGTCAATTGAATTCACAAACGATTCAAATTTCAAAGCAAGGCATCTGCTCTCTCTCTCTCTCTCTCTCTCTCTCTCTCTCTCTCTCTCTCTC